TTGATCTTTGGTTTTGTCGAGATTTTTTTTATTCCATGATTCACATTCAAGTTGTTTTAAGTGGGAAACAGCGTAAAATAGCTTTTTGATTTTTTTCTTGGGTTCCCACCATTGAAAACCCCTCCCGTAGGACCAGCAGTTAGCGTAATGGCTATGTAGCTGGATTCCCATGTAGTTGACCGCGGTTGGAGTCCTGGATCCGGTGGCTTAAACTGACGCCGGGCGCATGTGCGTGCATGCCCAAGATCCCGAGAGGAGAAAGGAGAAGAAGGGATTGCGGGGTGGCCATACCCCCTGGGGGGTGATTCCTCTCTTTCTGTCTGTCTTTCCAGTCCGGCGAGCGCACACTCCCTACAGGAAAAACCTCTCCATAAAAAAAAGAAAATCCCTCCTGCTTCCTGAATTATGGACGTTGACTCCTCCCCCCCCACCCCAGCAAAGAGAAATATTGAATAAGCTAATCAGGTTGTTCTGAACTGAACATTTGACTGTCTGGAGATAGGTCTGTTTTTTTCACATGTCAGGGGGTGGATGTTACCAACGTCTGTTAGGCAGAAGCCAGGGAGGCTGCCAGACGCCCCGGAAAGCACAGGATGGCTCCCTAAAACACCTACCCGGTTCCAGTTTTTTTTTTTTTTTTTTCATTTTAAACGGTCTAGAGGTCTTTGGATTAGGTGTGGTCACCAGAGAGAGAAACAGAGACAGTGAGCGGGAAACTGAGAAATCACCTCCCAGGGGTGATGGTCCCGCAGCAATCCCTTCTCCTCCAGGGTCTTGGGCATGCATGCACATGCTCTCAGCCTAAGTTTTAAGCCACAGGGTCTGTGACTCCAACCGAAGTTGGCCAGTGACAATTGCTACACTATCTGCTGGTACACCATCCCAAATTGTAATAGGGCCACAATGAGAAACTCTGCTCTAATTTCAAATCTGGTGTTTCTCTCCCAGTGTGAAGTAGGAAATTTTACTACTTAACAAAGTGGTTATAATAATAGTTTGGTTCTTGAACAAAGCCTTGTACAAGTAGACATCAAAAAGTTCCTGGGGACCAGCCTGTAGTGTGGTGGTGCAGGTAGCTAGATCCCATATGGCCAATGGCATGTTTCCAGCCCCAGGGCCTGCAGTTTGAAAAATGTGCCAGGCATGTGTGGATGTGTGTCCATAATCTCAAAAGCGGAAATGGAGGAGATATTTGGTGTGACCAGACCCTATGGGGGATGCTTTCTCACTTTCTCTATCTCACTCTCTCTAGTGAGCTCATGGACCCTCTAGCAAATTTTTTAAAAATTCATAGAAAAATGGGGGACCAGAAGATGGCATAATAGTTAACATCACTGGACTCCCATGTAGTCAACCGCAGTTCGAGTCCCAATCTCAGCGGCCTAAAACATGTGCATGCATGCCCAAAATTCTGAGAGAATGGAGAAGGGATTGCAGTGTATTCATCCCCGCTGGGGAGGGTGGTCATTTCTTGCTTTCTGTCTCCTTGTCTCTTTCTGTCTCTCTGGCAAGTGCACACACCCTATAGAAAAAAATCTCTATTTTAAAACATCATAGAAAAATGAAATTATAATACAAGTTTATTTCAATGCAAAATATCTTGAAATTCATGCATATTCCTTTCATAATATGCATATTCCATAAACTGTTCAGTACGCTACTATGTTCACTCTATTCTTTTGGCCTCGTTTTCAATTTCATGCCAATTTAAAATCTTGGTTACATAATGAGGTATTCAAATAAAAAATTATTTGAATACTTCAAAATCTATAGACCTTATTTCTATTTTGGCACTTTCTACAGTAGTCTTCCTATATTTTAAAGCCACCTTATGTATTATCAAAAGCGGCTCAGTCAAGAGCCTAGAACAAATAATGTAAACTAATGAAATAAAGACAATGATGCAATCTGAACGAAAGTGCTAGCATTGTATCTTAACTGTCTTTCACCTTGTTTGATTGCATTTTCATTCTCACAGTGGACTTAAAAAAGTCTTGTTGCATGCCCTTCATAATGGTATGTGAGGTTCTCTATATGATGAAATATTGAAAATAGACTTCTTTGATACTCCATTTATAAAAATAACTCTAAATTTATCTGAGATTAGTTCACTCTATTCAGACAGAGCTTAACCTTTCAAACCTTTTTTTTTGTAAATCTAGACTGTGTTTTATAAAAGAACTTTATAAATGTGAAATCTGATGAAAACATCCAAATCTTTAAGTCCTAATTTTTTGGTGGCTTTTGAAACAAAGTTTCACAGCACTATTTTATGATGGTTCTAATTTTGATAGTTCCTTTCTGACTCCCTCCCCTCTTTTTGGTAACAGGTGGAGGAGACTCTTCACCTGAGTCTGGAAATGATTCTACAATACTTGGACTTACTTCATTAGGACAAATAGGACGTTTGAGTGGATGGGAGCAAAGAGAACACCAATCTTACACAGCAGCAAATCAGAGTCATTTTAACTACAGTGACATCAGATCCAGTGGAGGGATGGGTTTTATCCTTCACAATGGAAGACGAATCTCACGAAATGCATGCACATTATCAGAAAGGTTTTCCAGGGGAGTGCATATGGAACTAGGCCAGAGGCAGATAGAAAGCCTACCACCTGTGTCAACATTTGCCAGGCCATCCACATTGGAACGACGACACGTACCTGAAGCATCGATGGAAGTCCCACCACCCAGAGGTCAGAGAAGAGCGAGAAGCCGGAGCCCAGAGCAGAGGAGGACCAGAGCAAGAACTGAAAACACGTCACCTCCAAACTCGATGAGTGAAAATGTTCAAAGATTTGAGCAGCCTCTGATAAATGAGACTGAGAGAGTTTCTGTAATTCCACCACATGATACATCACGGCAGCAATTAACTGGACCTGAGCTGCAAAGTAGGCATCTTTTTCCATGTCCTGGATTTCCATGTTCTAGAACAAGGAATACTGTTCCAAGAGGACATTTTCTAGATGCACTCAGTAATTGTGACAATGTAGAATTGAGACAGAGCTATCCAACCAGATTTGTAGATTATCAAGTCACAGGTTATCGTGCAGAATGTTTGTTAATAGACAGGTTAGCTAGTGGGATCCAATTACTGTCTGAGATATCAAACAACATCGTCACTTCAGAAAATGAACAACAAGAGAGGCCTAGAAATATTTTTTCACATTCTGAGGAGGTAGGTGGGAGACCTTTTAGTACCATCATATTCCCTGCTGATAGAACTTTAAATACTGGTTTATATGAAGCATCTGTTCAAACTCAGAATACTTCAGGGCAGATGGTGGCAGGATTTCAAGAGTCCAGTAACCCTATAGACAGTGATCGTGATTTAGAGACTGGTGTCTCACTCCTAAGTCAAAACATGGAAGGGGCAGAATCGCAAGATAGAAGGAACAATTCTGATGACAGTCATAGTTCCAGTTCTAATTCATATCCTCGCTGTCATTCTCGCTCAAGTTCCGTATCAGTTTTCAGTTCACGTTCTAGCTATGTTCTAAGTTCTGATTCTAGCCCTATATCTGACAGCTCAAGCTCAAGCAGTGAAAACTCAGATATTAGCTCACTGATGTTTGAAGCCAGTAATGAAGGAAGCGTGTCACTAGGTTTAGCATCAGAGACCAGTCAAGAAAGTGGACATAGGTCCCCAGTAACATCTGATGAAAGTGACTCTTGGCCTGCCCCTGATCTGGCTCAGTTTATTCTCTTAAATGAAGCGGCTCATTCCCAAGCTGTAGGACTCACCGAACAACAGATTGACAGCTTAGCAGTAAGATATTTTGATCACACTGATACATTAAAATCGTGTAGCATTTGCATCACAGAATACACAGAAGGAAACAAGCTACGCATACTACCTTGTTCTCATGAATACCATGTCCATTGCATTGATCGCTGGCTGTCTCAAAACATTACCTGCCCTATTTGTCGTAGGAAAGTAGTAGATTCTGATAGAGAAAGTTCTAGTTGAGATCTGAACTCTCAGCTACATAAACTGTTAGAGTGATGGACAAATAAATTTTCTTGCCTTAGGTTCACTTTTGAAAGGACACTCCAAAATTATATAGAGGGAGTAATGACTGGGAATGAATCTGGTTCCTGAAGGATGTTTATAAATTGTCCAATTTCTGTTTTAGAATAAAAGAAAATATTAAAAAGCCCTCAAAAAGATGTCCTGCCTGACAAATAAAGAGTAACTCTACACTATGGTGGACTGATGAATTTTGCCAGAAATGTAGCAAGTACACTGGATTGGAAGGTTCCTCATTCCATGAGAGAAGTGACTTAGTATGATATAATCAATTCCACATAGATGCTAATAGTCTTAACTAGTCAGGCAAACTCCAGACACGTCATGGCCCTGTACTGTCTTGGATGTGCATGCAAAGAAAGAGCAACCAAAACAAAGTAATTAAGCAATTTAAGAATTTATTGGAGTCATTCACATGAAGATGTGCCTTCACATTCATACTATGCTTTGAAAAGCCTTTATCCCCAGCCGTTTATCTCATCCCCTCATGCTACCTTAAAACTCCTTCCATTGTCTACTACCAATGTTTCATTCCTGGTCCTGGCTGAAAATAGGTGTTAGACTTGAAAAGGATGATCAAATAACATTTAATTAAGGAACCACTTACTAAAGTGTATAGCCAATAAGGGGAAATCAGGATATAGTGAAATCCTCTGAGGCTAGCAACTGTAAAAAGCCAGTATTACTGCTACCATGCTTGAAGGGGCATAACCCAGAATGTCCCGCCCAACATAAACTGTGGCCATTGTTAAGACAAATAGCAGCTATTACCTACATAGAGTTTAAGGATGGGGGACCAGGGAATACCCTGACCTTTCCTTTTCTCATTTTTTTTTTGAGAGAGTGTTTTTTTGTTGTTGTTTTTGTTGTTGTTTGTTTGTTTGTTTTGCTATAGGGCACGTGCACACGCCAGAAAGACAGAGACAGAAAGTGAGAAATCACATCCCCTCCCCCGGGGGAATGGCCACGCCGCAATCCCTTCTCCATTCTCCTCTCAGGATCTTGGGCATGCACGCACATGTGCCCGGTGTGAGTTTAAGCCACTGGGTCTGGGACTCCAACTGCAGTCGACTATATTGAGAGTCCAGCAACAGAGCCATTACGCTAACTGCTGGTCCCTCTCATGCCTTCTAATCTCTTGTTGACAGTTTTCAATAGGCAAACCAAACCTGAAGACTATCTGAAGGCAAGAGAGACTGGTTGATGAACTCCAGAAAGGTCAGTCCCCTGGGGTTAGGAGTAGAGAAGGATGGCAATTTAAAGAGACCATCTAGCACAGCCGGCATCCCAACTCTCTTCAAACCCAGTCAATACATACTTTCTTGCCTCTTTCACAAGCTCTTCAGTGGCTTTTCTTCATGACTCAGCTCTGAGACAAGTTTATCTCATTCTCTCTCTTATGTTATTTCCCTATACTCAGATATTGTCTGATTAAGGAAATAAAAAGTACATTTCATCTTTAGAAGTTATGAGATGACAGACGCTTATAACTTTGTCAAACTTGTCATCATTAGGTTTGCTGTGATTCTAAACAAGAAGAATGATAGTATAGATTTTTTTTCATTTTTGCTTCATGTTTCAATTCCTTTATGTAACTCACTTTCATTCATACAGTTATTTTATTGTTAGTTAGTTAGTTAGTATTTTATTGTTTCTTCTGAAGGGTTTTAGAATTTATATGTAACTCTTAACCTTTGTTCATGGTTTAAATAACCAGGAGTTGCTTTTGGCCTCCCAGATTGTAATCTGAAAACCTTAAATGTCCCACCTGAAATAATAATAATAAAAGAACTAGCTAATTCAGTTAGTTTTGTCCCCAAGAAAATCTTATGACCTTGGCTATTTGAAATCCAGTTTTATATAAACCTCCCTTCCCAAATATGAAGGGTTTCTCTTCTGATTTAAATTTGGCTGTAAAACTCAACTTTTTAATTTCTCTTTTATTTTTGTTTGCATTTTGTTTTATCCAGGAAATTTTGCTTCAAATTATTGACATTGGTTTAGGTGAGAGTACATTGTATTATAATCTAAAGCAAAAGTCATAATTTCGTGTAATGTGTCATTTATGTAAATGCAGATAGCGTTAAGTATATGCCTGCTCTAGGAATTTAAAGTCAGAATCATCACTGACCTTTACTTCCTATGTGAATTTGTGGCAGGCATTATTATTTCACAGAACTATAAAATATAAATGGGAGGAATGGAGTAAGATGGAGTAAGTCTTTTAATATATCTGTGAGCTAGAATATTTTCCATACAGAAAATATTTGCATGGCCAGAATTGACTTAAATAAATCAAAACTCTGGAAATCACTGAAAGTCTTTTATTTTTAATACTCTGGGTTTCATTACATTTTTCTGATTCCAGATGTACATCGTTTAGTATGAGTAGAATGACTGTAATAAGTACTTGTCATTTTTGTTATCTTAATAGCTTCCTACCTTTAAAAGGATGACAATTGTCTATTTAACTCTCTGGTATATTCATTTATGCCATCTGTGGTCACTGAATTCTAAGAGGAACTCCAATGATCCTTGTAATAGTCCCTCTCCTTGAATATGCGAGGGAGCTATAGATATGATAGAATATCATTCTCATCATTCGATTATGATATATGGCACAGTGAACTGTAAATTTGGGGAATTATCTGGAGTTGACATGACCTAATCAGGTGAGCCCTTAAAGGACATGGAGAAGATGCCCGGTCCAGACTACGATGACTTATCACTCCCACTCCTCTTTTATATGTACAAATCTATTATATGGAAATAACATGAGATAATCAAAGGAGAAATCTATTTAATGAGAAAGAGGGTGAATGTGTTAGGGACTCTCAGAATGGCTGGACAGCACTATGGCAGTGCATCATACAATTCTCTGCTACCCCTCAAAAGAGAAGGTGAACTTAGGCCCAGCATTTCCTAACTCCCAAGTTAGTAACAGAAAGTGACTCAGGTAGGCTGTTCCTCTACCGGATCAAATGGGCTTCCCACTGAAAATACCAGGTCAGCCCATCAAAAGCTATAAGAAACAACTACTGGAAGCAATGTTATAGTAGATGTGCAGGGAAAACACTCTCTTCTTCAATGGGCTTGTGACTCCTCTCCTCAACCCAGACATACTGGGTGGCCATGGGTACCAGTGGAAAATATTCCATCACAAAGAGCTGGGAAGTGCTCTACTTTCTAGCCTGGCCTGCGACGCCTCTCCCCACCCAGAGACTTCAGGGAACTTGACAGCATCGACCAAAGGAATCTCACTAGAAGAGTCTGTCAAGCTGGTAAGTGTCCTCCATTCCTTACAGGAAGGAAAATCTTGCCACAAGTACCTGGTCCAAGAAGCATTCTTCATCAAAGTGGGCCAGAGACTCCCTTCCCACACCTAAAAGCACCAGACATCCTGGCCTAGGAAAACCCATTCAGCCCCCTTAAGCACCACCAGCAGCAGCAGGAACCCCAAATGTAGAAGGTAAACCAAGCAGACAACAAAAGGTCTGAAAATAAAATTGTTGTATAACCAGAATCCATAAAATAGTCCGGAAGAGTGTGCCAAACCTACATAGGATGAACACCTTCTAAATTTAAAGAAAACAATAACGACTCAGAGTCTCTGAAAATAGTAGCCAAAATGACCAGTATACAATCAAACATCACCCATCATACCAATAACAAGATGAATTACAACTTGGACGACAATGACAATTAAATGATGCCAACTCCAAAGTGAATCAGATGTTAGAACTATCTGATAATGGTTTAATGCCACTAGAATAAAAAAAAAATCATACGATTACAAATTCTCTTGAAATAAATAAGAAGAGAAAATTGGAGGAAAAGAAGAGAAGTTATAAGAAAATTAGCTGGAAGTTTCTAGAATGTAAAAAGGAAAAGAAGAGAATATATAAGAAAGACCAAATGTGAATTAAGGTATTTAAAAATATAATAAATATATACCTCACTGTATAAAATTATAAAATGGAGATGACAGGGTAAAATCAGTAAATAATTAAGTACCTCATTATATAAAATTATAAAATAGGGGCCAGCAGGTGGCATGGTGGTTAAGGGTGCTGGACTCCCATATGGCCAACCGTGGTTCAAGTCCCAGACCTGGCAGCTTGTTTTCTCTCTCTCTCTCTCTCTGTCTTTCATTCTGTCCCTCTCTGGTCAAATAAAAAAATAAAGTTAAATAAGCCATGTGATTCAAGTCCTGGAAAAAACATCCTGAGTATAGTGCATGTGTCCCAGAAATCCAGACAGGAGAAATGGAGGGGAAGGGATTGCAGCATGACCCCATCCCACTAAAGAAAGACTTCTCCCTTTTCTTCTGTCTTTTGTCTCTTTTTTTCTCTAACCAGGACATGTGCAATTAAAAAAAAATTTTTTTAGTGGGCCCACCCTTGGTGGCACAATTGGTAACATAAAGAACAGCAGGGTGAAAGTCACATGACCAACTATGTTTCTGAACCCTGAGCTGGCCTAACACCAGGCATACACACACCCCCTATCCTGATGGGTTGGAGGGCTGGGAGAAGGGGACTGCAGCATGAGAAAGCCCTGTCAATGGTGCCTACTCCCCTTTTTTTCTCTCTCTCTCTTTGTCATGCATTGGCACATGCTCTCTATTAGGAATAACAATAAAAACAAATTGCAACTACAATTGTCATGAAACCTCCCATTTCTTTTTTTAGTTACATTTAATCACTGTACATCTTTACAGCATGCAAAATGGTTTTTCTCAGCATGAATACAGTGCATATCAGACAAGTCAAAGATATTACCATATACATTATCACCAACAGATAAATTTTCATTTTTGTGTCTGATAATTGTAGATACCAGAGACTATATAGGAAGGTGGTGATCAGCAGGGGGTGGATGAGAAGGGCTCTGGAAGATACAACATTTAATAGACGCGATAATGGAAAGTTGTCTGTTGAAGGTGATATATACGGTAATATCTTTGACTTGATTGACATGCACTGCATGCATGCTTTGAAAAACTATATTGTAT